CTCTCCCTTGGCTCCATCCTCCAATCTAAAGCACTGCTGTCTCTAGAGTCTAGATGCGACTGTCTCTCCCTTGGCTCCAGCCTCCAATCTAATGCACTGCTGTCTCTAGAGTCTAGATGCGACTGTCTCTCCCTTGGCTCCATACTCCAATCTAAAGCACTGCTGTCTCTAGAGTCTAGATGCGACTGTCTCTCCCTTGGCTCCATACTCCAATCTAAAGCACTGCTGTCTCTAGAGTCTAGATGCGACTGTCTCTCCCTTGGCTCCATCCTCCAATCTAAAGCACTGCTGTCTCTAGAGTCTAGATGCGACTGTTTCTCCCTTGGCTCCATCCTCCAATCTAAAGCACTGCTGTCTCTAGAGTCTAGATGCGACTGTCTCCCTTGGCTCCATCCTCCAATCTAAAGCACTGCTGTCTCTAGAGTCTAGATGCGACTGTCTCTCCCTTGGCTCCATCCTCCAATCTAAAGCATTGCTGTCTCTAGAGTCTAGATGCGACTGTTTCTTCCTTGGCTCCATCCTCCAATCTAAAGCACTGCTGTCCCCAGACGCTACTGTTACCCCCCTCGGCTGTAAAAGACTGTCGATAAAACCACGCTACAGCTGGCACTGGATATATTCTTGCAAACAAACAAAAATGTCAATAACCATCTGTGCGGTGATCGTCATTCTGTGTTACTGAAAGAGGGGAGAAGAGAACATAAATTTCCCACACTTCAAATCATTATGTCGCCACCTCGAATATGCGAAGTCCTACAGCAAGAGGCAGATAACGATACAAGTAGTAGAACAAGTTCAAGAAATGGAAAAACTTAACGCTGGCCCTTTTATTTGCCAGCATATTCTACGGTCGTGACAGAAAGCTAGAAGTCAACAAATTATCTAGACAACGAGTATCTGAACCCAAGACCTCAGGCCCAGAGGCTAGCCACTGTCTTACCACATGGGTCCTTATTATCTACAATACGCACACATGTCGACAGGCCCAGGGATGTCAATACGATTACATATTTCAATGTACAACTTGACGTAATCCTGCCTGACTGTAGTACTACTGTTTAACGAGGCGTAGGGCGGGGCGTCTTGATAGTTCGGTCGCCACGAACTGTTCAGGTTATGATAGTTTTTTTGGTTGTTATTGTTTCTATCCACCCATAACCGAGGATACGAACCCGGGTCTCTCGCGCTGAACCACCCAGCCAGCAGCTCCTTCACGACCTATCACATGTTAAGGGAGGGTAGACATACACACACTGTGTCAACAAAACAATAACATTATTCCCTCACCAATAGCGCTTCTGAGAGACGTTAATAAATAAGAAATGGCGTCAAAGGACACTTTAGCAGGGGCAAACTTGCTGAAGACTGGCTGTTGTCCACAGCGGTGGGAACCTAGCAGTTCTGACATACCCACGCAGCTCAAAGTAAATTTGTCAATAGACATTTTCGCCAACTACAGCAGTGAAACAAAATTACAGTTGCAACACTTGACATGGTTTGGCCCCATTGAGGAAACCCAATCATTAATAACTACGATTCAATCATAATGCGCACTTGTGTATACGTATGTATGTATATGAATCGACCTGGCGGTCACTCGTACTCGTAAACATGCATTAATAAAATGCACTAAGACCGAATATCAATGCAGAAATCGCATAATTGTGCGAGATCCACACCACAATGGAAGATATAATACAGATTGGATTATATGAATAAATACAACCAACAGCACGACTTCTTTAAAATAATGTTAACAACATGGAAAGCAAGAGTCAAATACATTGTATTGAACATTAACTAGGAACACGACTGACGGAAGTCGCGCCGGCTAGTAACGACTGGGGTCAGTACCAGCAGCTAAGGAACATCTTCCTAATGCTGATACATCACTCTGTTTATATGAGCTAGAAACCACTTCCAGTGGTTTTGTTATTAAAGACATACCAGCAGCATCATCACGTGTGGCAGAAGTAAACAAATCATTCATTTTATAATTAAGGCAAGCATTCGAATGCTTCGGTAGGCGGCGAATACCGTCCGCAAAACAGGATTGTGGTTGCTCACTGAACCAAGTGTTTACCACGTTTATTACATCTGCATCCTTGCGAAACTGGTGCCCCTTCAAATGTTTTTAGCGTTCCAAACAAATGAAAATTACATTTTTGGAAGAGTACTGTCGTGTAACAAAATCGCACTGTTAGAAAACATACCGGGACGTTTTTTTTTAATGGCTTTACGCTGCTTATCTAGTGTTTCCATGGTTTACACCGGCTTCTTTAAAGTCTGCCAAGAACTGCCCTTCATACTTTAATTATTTAAAAAATGTGCTCCAGTAAAACTGTACCAGCGAACACCTATAACGTTGGTGGTCCAATGCGCTTCCACATGCTCTCTCATTTGTTCCTTGGCTGTACTGCTGCTGCAATTTTGGCGATGATCCCCCCCCCCCCCCCACTCATGTCCTTTCCGAAACACTGGTGCCCAGCCTGTGACTGTTGTCTTAGACATACATCTGTTATCGTAGGCTTCCGGCATAATCTGATGAATGTTCACTAGTCACAAACACAAAAATACACCAAATCACTGCTCCCTGGGCTTCTGTGGACGGATTTGGGATCAGCCCGACCATTTTCTCAACGTCCAGAAATATAACTTATGCATCACTGGACGATAGGTACGTGCTCCTTTATTTAATGGTCAGTACTGATTATAAGACTATAACATGATCATGCCCAACGCACGCAATAACGTGTGGTGCAGCATAAACGGGTTTCCACTCGGGTCCATCTAGGTAAAGACTGGACATAACAGCATTTAGGACAATACCATAGTAACTCGCTCTCCCTCCTCCGCATGGAGTGAGAGACTCGCCATACTGCTGCCGCCCTTTGCCATCTGGGTAAATACTCGTCTTTCCTTTTCCCGTGGGGCGCTCCTTATATATATATATATATATAAAGATAACACAGTGGCCAGACTCTTGTCTGTTGGCCCAAGAACCCTGGGTTCGAATCGGTATCGAGGTAGATTTTTCAAGACACTAGCTCTCATATCTACGCAGCGTAAAATGGGAACCTGGAAATGTTGTGGGAAATAAAGGAGCCCGGCGTTTTGTTGATCACACCACTGGTGCGCGGGGCCAGTGGATTTAGACAATGCACTCTGACTAGAAGGAAACATACGACCTTAAAATGCGATTGGCAAATTGTATTGCGGCTTACAATTAGCCTGCAAGATCTGGGGTTTTTCCACCCACAATATATGATTTCAAGCTGCACACTTTTTTTTTTTAATGTTTACGACATGCTTTTTAAGAAAGAGATACAGGAAGGTTTTATTTATGTCAATGTGCTGTTTGGAGCATAATACTGCTTGAACGACTACAAGAACCAACAGGGTTCGTGTGCGGTGGCCTCAAGAAAACGTGCAACTAACTTGATGTCAGAACTCAACTAAACGATAAGCGCAGACCGCAGTTTTCTGGCAACTCTGCTAACATTCAAATATGCAGTGGCTACAATATTCCAGTATGTTAACCCGCCTAGACCACCTCACAACAATCACAAGTGTCTTTTTCCGTGATGACTTTACCCAACACAAGCCGGGGCAGCCCGGAGAAATAAATTCCCCTAAATGTAGACTATGAATGCCCCAGCTCTGCAACGGTTGAACGCGTCAAAATGAGATGCACTTGCTCCGTACAGATGAGCTCACACATCACTGGCTCTCCCAGACTACACAAAAATCGTTTCTAAATGCCGGTGTCGGCTCTAATAACAACTGTCTCCAGATTAGTTACTGCACATGTTAGATTGGGAGACAGTTCCGGTACAAATGTGTGCAATAAAAATTACGAAAGATACTTTTCTTTTCTTTTGTCAAAATCTGCTTGTGCCGCTAGGCGTCGCAGTCTATCAGATGATCGGCAACCGAGCCAGGGCGCGCTCAGTCGCTTCATATGCCGTGATGTTATGAAGTCTCAAGTTGTCCGTGACTCCTTCAATCCATCTTCTTCTTGGTCTTCCCCTGCCTCTTGGTGTTTCGATTTTCATGTTGTATGCTCTTGATGCTGGCATCGTTGGTTCCATTCTCATTAGGTGACCAAACCATTTCATTCTTTGCTTCTCAATAAATTTAACGATGGGTATGGTTCCAATAGTTCTTGTAATCACATCGATTCTCACTCTATCTCTTCTGGTTTTATTCGCAGCCATTCTCAAACATCTCATTTCACAGGTGGTTGGTCTTCTCTCGTGTTCTTTTGTTAATGTCCAAGTCTGACACTGATAACCTAATGTCGGTATAAAGATTGTATTTATAATTTGTCTTTTTATCTCAGCTGGGACAGCAGGGTGTTTTAAAATTGGGGCAAGCTGGTATGCGACATTGTTGGCTTGTTGAATTCTTGCTTCGATCTCTCTGTCTATTTTACCATTGGATGCAAAGATACTTCCCAAGTATTTAAATTCTTGCACTTGTTTTAGGCTGTGATCTAGAATCTTTATGTCGATGGTCTGTTGCTCTCTACTTATGCTCATGACTTCTGTCTTTTCAGTATTGATCTTCATATGATTATTGAGGCAACTGTCCATAAATATTATGAAAAGTAAAGGTGATAATACACAACCTACGAAAGATACGAAGACTGAAAAAAAAAACATATGTAGAAGAGGCGTTAGGCAGATTTGTGTGTGTGTGTGTGTGTGTGTGTGTGTGTGTGTGTGTGTGTGTGCGTGTGCGTGTGTGTGCGCGCGTGTCACAAATGAATACAAGAAAATAATAATCTAACCGTATTACTGAACCTTTACCAACCTGTACAATGCTAGGAGCGTCAGTTATTTCCCTTACACATGTCTGACGACAGCTTATCGCACTGCTCCACAAAAGCGTGTGGAGGCGTGCTGAAGAGGCCTATGCACCCGTAGGTGAGTAGGGAAACAACAAGATAACAAACGACCAACAACAGCAGCAGGAGAGACAGCGAGATGAATACTTACATCCATTTCTGTAGCCATGAGGTGTCGCTTGCGCTTGGACAGGTCTGTGGTGGGCCATGTGGGTCCATGCACGCCGTGCTGATCTGAAATCAGGTTAAACACTTATAGTTAATCGAAAGACTACTCTCATCTCACACGTCCAATCTTCAGGTAATCCCCTAGCGTGTGGCGACTGACAACACGCTTATGTGTTGGTTTACTATTCTTCTTTGGCTACCTTTATAGTGTTCATATTTAGCGACAGCTATTTTGACCCGACGTATTTTCTAGTCTTTTGAGTGTTGCCGATTCAAGGCCTTTCAAGGATCATCTTCTCGTCCTGCCTTCATGAGAACACGGAGAATGACGGCTAGGTCTATTTATTACCTGTACCTACCGTTCTCTCCATGATCTCAGAACACAGACTCACAGACGGTGTTGGTGTGTTTATAATATGGTTGGTTATACAGCGACAAGCATGCCACAGCTGACTTTAACACACACTAACGACAGCCCGGCTTCATCCAACCACCACCTGCTGTTTATGTGATGAAGTTCTGTCTGAAAGTCCTTGGCATCTTGTTTATGTGATGAAGTTCTGTCTGAAAGTCCTTGGCATCCTGTTTATGTGATGAAGTTCTGTCTGAAAGTCCTTGGCATCTTGTTTATGTGATGAAGTTCTGTCTGAAAGTCCTTGGCATCCTGTTTATGTGATGAAGTTCTGTCTGAAAGTCCTTGGCATCCTGTTTATGTGATGAAGTTCTGTCTGAAGTCCTTGGCATCCTGCTTATGTGATGAAGTTCTGTCTGAAAGTCCTTGGCATCCTGTTTATGTGATGAAGTTCTGTCTGAAAGTCCTTGGCATCCTGCTTATGTGATGCAGTTCTGTCTGAAAGTCCTTGGCATCCTGTTTATGTGATGCAGTTCTGTCTGAAAGTCCTTGGCAACCTGCTTATGTGATGACGAAGTTCTGTCTGAAAGTCCTTGGCATCCTGTTTATGTGATGACGAAGTTTTGTCTGAAAGTCCTTGGCATCCTGCTTATGTGATGACGAAGTTCTGTCTGAAAGTCCTTGGCAACCTGCTTATACGATGAAGTTCTGTCTGAAAGTCCTTGGCAACCTGCTTATGCGATGAAGTTCTGTCTGAAAGTCCTTGACATCCTGCTCCCGGTCTCCACCCTGACGGTACACCAAAACATCATCAGCATACGATAGTGTCCTTCCCGGTCCCCGGATCTGCTCACCTGTGATTCTCATGTTGAAAAGTGTCGGGGATAGAGGTGAACCTTGCGACAGACCGGGGTGTATGGTTATTGGTTCAAATGCCCAACTACAGCATTGAAACACCAGCTTCCAGGGGTTCATGGGGCTGGGTTCTCTCAGAGTTACATGTGTTGTAGCGGTCATTCGTCACTTCTGTGGCCGACCTTTCTAGCTGACAGTGTCACGTCTTACATTCTATGCATCCACGGCCACACTCGCAGTATTCCAAGTTGTGTAACATTCTGACATTGAAAGGATATTTCGTGACAGGAAATGTGTAATGTCATCCTTGTTAACCCCCCCCCCCTTTTTTTTTAAATCTTTGATGAATGGATGTTCTGGAAAGTTCTCAAGATGCACTCTACATTTTGCGAGTTTCTTAGCTGGACACAACCACACATACTGCACAATGTGTTGTCTGTAAATGTTACTGTAACTCGACAGGTACACTACATTAACATTCAAGAATACACAAAAGAGAAATTATTTTCAGTGAAATACACAGATCACATTAACTCTAGTCACACTGTGCATCGCAGCAGCGGAAAGTCCAAGACTAACTATGTTATGACTAAGGAAACAGAGATCAGGGATGTTATCCTTTTGCTTACATAACAGGAAATTTCAGTTGTAATTGGCACTCCTATGAAGTTTTGGACAATACACTGGGCTCTTTATTGTTTATGTTAGCACAAACTGCCCACTGAGAAGTATGTGTGCTCCGGCAAATCTGTACATCCCAAGGCAGAAGAGGTTCCAACTAAGTAAGTGGGAATATTTACATTCAATAGGTTTAAAAACTGACGTGAAGTGCCTTTATCTGTCTAAACAAGTAGCGGGTCAGCCTATCTGTCTTAGTTCTTCGTACTCAGAACAACACAGAGAACATATTCGACAGTTTACCACAGATAGAATTGACATAATGCTCCAAGTATTTTCATACATAATTTGGTTTCTCTGTGCAAGGCGGCCGTTCTCACGTTATCAGCGCTGACAGCACTGTATAACACAGACACTTCTGAAGCCCGAGCGATGACCCCTTCTCTAAAACGGATATGGAGCTGGACACCAGCCGTCTGGACTGACTGACTACCATATGGCGCTAGACACCAGCCGTCTGGACTGACTGTCTGTATGTGCCATGTGGCGCTAGAAACCAGCCGGCTGGACTGACTGTATGTGCCATGTGGCGCCAGACACCAGCCGTCTGGACTGACTGTCTGTATGTACCATGTGGCGCTAGACACCAGCCGTCTGGACTGACTGAATGTACCACATGGCACTAGACACCAGCCGTCTGGACTGACTGAATGTACCATATGGCGCTAGACACCAGCCGTCTGGACTGAATGTACCATATGGCGCTAGACACCATCCGTCTGGACTGACTGTACCATATGGCGCTAGACACCATCCGTCTGGACTGAATGAACCATATGGCGCTAGACACCAGCCGTCTGGACTGAATGAACCATATGGCGCTAGACACCAGCCGTCTGGACTGAATGAACCATATGGCGCTAGACACCATCCGTCTGGACTGACTGAACCATATGGCACTAGACACCAGCCGTCTGGACTGACTGTACCATATAGTGCTATAGACACCATCCGTCTGGACTCACTGACTACCCTATGGCGCTAGACACCATCCGTCTGGACTGACTGAACCCTATGGCGCTAGACACCATCCGCCGGATGGACTGACTGTACCACATGGCGCTAGACATTAGCCGTTTGGAGCGACATTCAAAATAGGAAAAATGGCAGACGAGATATAAAAAATAGGTGCACAGAACAGTTGAAAGGGGTAGATCATGAGGCAGACCAAGAAAACCATGAAGAGATGGAGGCAGGCGTAAAACCACTTGGAGGCGCCAACTGGAAAGAGAAAGGCAATCACAGAGATAACCGGAGGCGGATGATACCTGCAGCAATGAACCTCAAGGGTGTGGAGTCAACGCGAAGAAGAATGACAGCCGTGAAGACAAGATTCGAGATAGGACAGCTTGTCTTTCACCGACCTTCAAATCTACAGCAAGATTACACGTTCACGCCGAACAAGAGAATATATAACTCTGGCATATTTAACAGGCTTATCGGCTTTCTGGTTAAACTAAACTACCATGTCAATTGTCAGCGCACAGAGCACGGCTTGGCGGCAATTAAAATCATGCAGCGACGGACAAGTTGTGGCACACAAGGCCCTGTAGCAAGTGTTCTCTACCTAAGGTTTGGCATAAGCAGTATAGCCTGCTATTTCAATACAGAGTGTTTAATTACTGCAGCCTAATCTTCACCGATTCTCAAATTGCACAGGCCTGATTAACTCATTCAGTAATAAGGAACCCTGTCAACTGCAGCAAGAAAAGAGTGGTAAGGTGTTAAACAGAACCGCTGTTGTTATACGCAAGCAAGAAGGTCAATGAGCAGACAACTCAAAGACGTCTACTCACGACAAGAAGTGTGAAATTGGCAAGAATGCCAATAATATGAACTAAAAGACACAGGAGCCAGACAGTCCTCCCAGAGAGGTTATCTCCAAAATTTTTCAGGCCCTGCCCCTTGATTATATATCGTAAGATCCCCCATGCCTCCCTTTAGTATATTGCAAGATCCCCATGCCTCCCTTTAGTATATTGCAAGATCCCCATGCCTCCCTTTAGTATATTGCAAGATCCCCATGCCCCCCTTTAGTATATTGCAAGATTCCCCATGCCTCCCTTTAGTATATTGCAAGATCCCCATGCCTCCCTTTAGTATATTGCAAGATCCCCATGCTCCCTTTAGTATATTGCAAGATCCCCATGCCCCTTGAGTTAATGGCAACCCCCCCCCCCCCCCCCCCCCCTTTCCGCGTTTTGTTCAGAATGTGTTTTTAAAGTATATTTAAATGCCTGTGTTACTATCATCATCACGTAACACTATGTGTCGTTTGGTCACCAGTTTCTGTTGGCTGATCAGCTATCTTCGCCTTTGGCGATCAGTTGCGATGGACTCCATGGTTGCATGCCTGAGGCCAGTCCAGTCAGCCGGGTTCTGTAACCAGGTCTTACTTGGTCTGCCTTTTTCTCAGCCCTGCAGTACAGTTTTTAAGAGGTCGTTAAATATTATTACATGTCCATACCGTTGCATTTTCCGCCTTTTCATTGTAGTTAGAAGAGGCTCAAAGTTGCTAGCGTGCTGTATAATTTTATGGCGAACCTCTTTGTAACGTAGTCTCTGTATGATATGCTAAGAATGTTTCTGAAACATCGCATTTCCAGCGCCTGTATCTTCCTTTGAGTTAAGCTGTTAGGCCTGTGTTATCACATTAATTTCCGTTGTAACTGTAGATATACAACCTGCTGATAACGTACCCCTGAAGGCCTGGTCTACCTGGTGCCAAGGTAGTTTCTAGGGGGACAAGTCCGGTTCTGTGAGGACCCGAACCCATGACCCTTCGATCGGCAAGCAAGCGTCGTCTACCCGCTACACCACGGCGACTCTCACAGCAAGAAGAAGGCAAAGAGAAAACTACACGGTGATCGTGTCAGATGGCAGAACATGTCCGACTACTATCGACAGGGTACATGATGATGATGACCAAGCGACAACATCTACATTCCAGGGTTATCTGAGAAACAGCATATTCTCACGTTCTACTACTGTCATTGACAGTTGTCGCACTCAATCATTCCAGGGTTATCTCATAGATAGCACATTCCTCAATTCTTCTACTGTCACTGACAGTTGTTGCACTCAATCATTCCTGGGTACTGACAGTTGTCGCACTTAATCACTACAGGCTTATCTCAGAGATAGCACATTCCTTAATTCTTCTACTGTCAGTGACAGTTGT